AAAAAAAAAAAAAAAAAACTGCCAGAGAATACAAGAAACAAATTACTAGAAAAATAAGGGAAAAGGATAAAATATAAACTCCAATTTTTAAAAAGTATTAGATTCAACAGACATACAAAATTATTCAATTGCTGTATTACTCTCACCGCAGACTGGCAGACAGTTTGCAAACTGGCACCAGGTCACAGATCACACTGAGTATCACTGGTCGATCACATGTTGGGTCTACTACACACTTAAGAAAGCAGAAATGATAAAGCAGCCTACCATGTGAATTCTTACAAGAGAAATAAAATGACCATTTAGTTAATAACTCAAAAGAGTTTATAGCAGCTGCACAATTAAGCTTATGATTACTATTAACTAAAGTTGCATTTAAAAAATAGCAGCTGTATTAACTATTCATGATTACTCTTAATAATTTGTTTTGCAGAGATAACCATAAATGTCAAAGCAATCTTCCAAGTGGAGAAGACATGCAAGGAAAGAACAACCAGAGACCAAATACTGATACACTAGCAATGTAACATTAAGTTTTGTCAATTGTGCAGGAAACCTATTTCTATAATTTTTGGGTTTTGACATTTAAATGAATCTTGGTTACTGAGCAAGCCAGGGGTCTGTATGGCTGTAAACTGAACAAGAAGACCTAGTTCTGAATATCTGACTCCTGTTTATTTCCAAATGTAATACACAGAAAAAAGGAGGTCCCTCGGCTGGGCACAGTGGCTCATGCCTATAATCCCAGCACTTTGGTAGGCCGAGAAGATGGATCACTTGAGGTCAGGAGTTTGAGACCAGCCTGGCCAACATGGTGAAATCCAGTCTCTACTAAAAAATACAAAAATCAGCCAGGAGTAGTGGCAAGTGACTGTAATCCCAGTTACTCGGGAGGCGAGAATCGCTTGAACCCGAGGCAGAGGCTGCAGTGAGCCCAGATCGCACCACTGCACTCCATGCACTCCAGCCTGGGTGACAAGAGCAACACTCCATTTCCAAAAAAAAAGAAAGAAAGAAAAGGAGATCCTTCAAGTAAATTTGTTTCACAGGACTAAAAACAGTCATAGAATAAACTCAATAATTAAGCCTAGAAAAACCTCAAAGGGCTGGAGTAGGAGCAACAGAGGTAGACCTTTCACAAAGTCCTTATTCCTTTTTACTACATGGCTAATGGCAGAAGGCAGCAAAAAAAACCAGAGGAACCATGGTGAAAAGTCAGTTAATATGAAATAGCACAAAATATTCCATTGAATTAACATAATACATGGAATTTAGCTTTATATTTAACTTGATTAGATCTTATCTACCTTATAAAACAGAAGTATAATAATAATAATAATAATAACAATAATGGGCCAGCCACAGTGGCTCATGTCTGAAATCCCAATTCTCTGGGAGGCCAAGGTAGACACTAGGAGTTTAAGAGCTGCCTGGGCAACACAGAGAGACCTCCATCTCCAACAAAATAAAAATAGAACAAATTTTTTATAAATAGCAATTACCATTTCTTTTTTTTTCTTATTGGGGGTGGGCAGGAGGAGTGTGGAGACATGCAGTGGCATGATCTCCGCTCACTGCAACGTTGACCTCCTGGGCTCAAGGCATCACTCTGCCTCAGCTTTCCAAGTAGCAGGGATTACAGGTGCACGCCACAAAGCCCAACACCTGGGCTCAAGTAATCAGCCCACCTCAGCCTCTCAAAGTGCTAGGATTACAGATGTGAACCACCATGTGGAGTCAGTAATTACCATTCCTTAAA